GATCACCCGCTGCCCAGCCCCAGTGAGGGTAACACCACACTGGTGACCCAGACACATACACAGTCAAACACACGCACACACCCACACACACACACACACATACGTGCACACTTTGACAACTCTGAGGGGGAATGCATTTTCTGTGAAGTTAGTTTCACAGCTAGAGGGTGATGGTGGGTGGGATAGACGGTAGTGAGGGTCTCCGTCACAGTGTTAAGGTGAAGACCCAACACCTTTCAAACACACACACACACACACATTTTTATCTGTATTTCCTTTTCCCTTTTGCTCTCTCCACTAAAACATGTCTAACAAAGGAAGCACTACAGCACGGAGAGCAAATGTTTTTTGAAGGCAGGCGAATGGGAACGTATGGAAAAATACACAAGACTGTGTTTTTGTTTTCATCTTTTTTTTTTCTCCTTCCCCAGTGTGTGCCGTTGTTGATCATGTTGAGTGTACAAGTATATGGTGAAAAGTAGCCAGCGCTAGTTGCTGTGTGCCATTTTTAAAAGAGAAATTAGTTTTGTTTTTGTTTTGGATGTGGGGGGGGGGGATTCCACTTCTGAACCTGGCCACAAGTTCTCCCTTCCTGCGTGGCACCATCGACCCACATTCTCCTACATTATTGATCCAGTCATAATGCCTCTAGATCTTTAATTTTGCAGTCCACTTTAAAAAGGTCCATTTAAAAGATTGTATTTTTATTAATCTATTTAAAAAAAGAAATGAAAAAAGAGTTGAGGTAGAGGTTGGTGCCTCCACAGTGGAACAACCCACACAATTTTATACACATAGATTTTGTTGTGCTTGAGTAGACACCATTTTGTATGGTTTTCGTCTCCTTCCCTTCACCCCCTTTGCCCTGCTTCAATATCTGTGTATAACAGTCTGTTCTTATGTAAAAAAAAATAAAATAATAATAATGTAAAAAAAAAAAAATGCTAGAGGAGAACCGTGGAAATAAAAGTATGTGAAAATAGTGTTTCTACACCTGTGGTTCCTGTTTTATTATTATTATTATTATTATTATTATTATTGAAGGTCAAGCTCAATATATGGTTCAGCTATTTAGAGCTGCAATGAATTGTCAAATTGTTTTTAATTTTATTTGTTGACTTGATAATAAATAATATAATATCCGGTTCTTCTTCTCCAATTCGAGGATTTTATATGATAATCTGAATATGTTGGGTCGAACAAAAGACATCTGAAGACCTCCTCTGATGGTCATTTTTTGGTATTTGCTGACATTTAAAAGACAAATGATTAATAGAGAAAATAATCAGTAGATTCATTGTCAGTTGCAGCCTAAATGCAGTTGTGACTAATCACATTTTGTTAGCTTGAACAAGTTTATCATTAATGATCAATGGATGTTTCAATGTCAAGGTGTCTGCAGGGTCTTAATCTAAAATCCAGTAATTGGACTTTTAGGCCTTATAATGTCTTTAAGTGTCTTTAAATATGATTTTGACAGGTATTAAATAATTGGATTAATGAAGTCAATGTTACTTGTGAAGTTACATTTTTCAGTCTTACTTTTAAATGTGTTTTTGGGGATAAAATTGTACTAATCCTGCTGTAACAACTACAAAACCGAACCAACATGGAACCAAAACCTTTGTAACCTTTTTATTTGTTTTGGCCAATATGGGCTGCACAAATATGGTAAAAACATCATGTTGTGATTACTGACATGGATAAAAATGATCACTTTTGCATCACAAATTACATTTTCACTGAAAAAAATCATGATGTGAATTTTTTTCTTAAATCCGGAGAACAAGATTTGTAGACCAGGGCTTCTCTGCAGCACTGCAGTACTTCATTATAACTCTGTTTGTCACACCATCTACCTTCATCAAACCATTGCAGCTTCTTTAGATATTGTACTTGGTCATATATTGTGATTTTCAATAATTGAATTAATTGTGCAGCCCTAGAAAAGTTAAAAATGCAAATTCTCAGAGCCAAACATGACGCTTTAATTTGCTTGTTTTTTCCAACTAACAGGCTAAAATCCAACCATACTCCGTTAACATGAGGATGTGAAACAGAAAAGCAGGACAATGTTTGGCTCTGTTACAGATAAGTAACTGCAAATCAAAGCTGTTACTACATTTTCTGTTAATTAAGATTAATGCTATGATCATTGTATTAAATGGCTTTAATGCAATTCTAAAGCGGCTCGATGATCAGTGTTAAATAATTAAAGCCTTCAAGAAATTAAAAGATCTTTGACTAAATGTTATACATCTTCATGAACTTTAATATCTGTGAAGTCATATTGTTAGTAAGATTCAGTGCAACTTTATGTAGTATTAATTGTTCTCCATAACTTCAAAATTCACTGAAACTGTATTAACCCACAATAATCAAATTCCTTTCATTAGCAGAATTAATGATTTATCAATTCTTCTACCTGCTAAAAAGAATGAAATGCTGTTAATTTTGTGCTTTTGTGGCTTCTTCAGATAACAGTGTAAAAATGATTTACTGAAAGCAATGTATTATCCTCCAGGTGCTGTCAAGCAGATGTTAAAATGTTCATGTTCCCTTTTTTTTGTTTCTTTCTTTCCATTTATACTCCGGAAATGTGACCTTTGGTGGTCACTTCAAACACTCCCTGACACATCGAGTGCTTCACTTAAAGGTCATTTTGCTGACGTTGGATCCACGTTCTGTATCAAGGTGGATACACAAATTCTGTCTGTGCATTTTAATGTGAAACCCCCTTTTGGTTATCTTTCATATAATTCCGGCACCTTTTGTTGTTGTGATCTTCTCACCAGCAGATGGGGCTATCAGATCAGCTGTGACCATTGCCTGTCCACACACACACACACACACACACACAAAACACCAAAGCACACACTCAGAAATCCTCCATTTAGCAAATGCACTGGCTTTATTGAATGTTAAATACCAGACTCAAACAAGCACCTGTACGATGAGCTCAGAAACATACAAATGCGATATTCTTTAATACTCTTATTTCTTTTCTGCTTTTTATTTAATGCACAAAAGGCAGTTAAGCTTGATTGTAATTCTTGCATGCTTGTTACAATATAAAACATGATGCTGTGCATGAGAGCATGACCACACACTGAAATTTCCACTTTCTAGCGTGGCGGGAACCCTCTCTCAGCTCCTCGGGGGTGGGGGTTGAGAGGGGGGGGAATGGCAGAGAGAGATTTCACATTCAACTAGAAACATGCTCTCACTCACAGCAGCGAATGCTATTTTCTCAGTACAGTTATTTGCCTCGGTCCGGCAGTTGGCAGCATATATTGAGGTCAATGTAAGAGAGAGACAATGCCAGTAAGGTGAAGCAGAATGTGACAACCAGGCGCTTCATCAGTGTCAAAAGCAGAAAAGAGGTTTCACTGATTGCTGGGAGTGTTTGGGGACATGCATACCACTGGAGTTCAATGAGCATATGTCTGGTGCAGGTGTGAGGGTACGTGGGTGAGTCTCCTTGGAGTGATACAGCGGAGAGAGGGAGGGAGAGAGAGAGAGAGAGAGAGAGAGAGAGAGAAGGTCTTCACAGGTGGACCAGTTGGGGTGAGGTCGAGGGGGGCGGGGCGGGGGGAGGTCGATGTGGAGGAGATTGTAGAAATCAGAAGGTCTCCATCGCCTGGCAGATCTGGGCGAACACTTCATCTGGCGACCTCTCAGCGTCAATCTGCAGACGGAGACAAACTGGCTGAGACGAGGCCTTTCAGAAACCATCAGTGTCTCCACGTGCACTCGAGGACATCAGTCTGCTGCAGTGCAAGCTCGCAGCAGATGGATGACCTCAATATCTGTTGTGGCATTTAAACACTCACATGCGCGCGCACACTCACACACACACTCTCAGCACCTGATGTGGCATTTAAATGTTCAAATAGCTCATTTGAAGAGGACAGTTCACTCCCAAACAGAAATTCTGTGATTATCTACTGACCCTCATGTCAGTGAAGACGTCAGAGTAGACACACAGCGAGTTAGCCCCTGTGCTTAAAAACCAGCTTTCTTTACACTGCTGACATCTTTCAACTGCTCCAAAAATATTCTAACACAGTGGTTCCCAGCCCTCTTTTCTATTATTGACTTAACTGTCGACCCCTAATTAAATTACATATTTTATTCATATTTCATATTATATTCAATGCGTAATAAAAACAGCACAGAACCACTGATCAACTGTAATTTCTGTAAAACTGCATCAGAGATGAGTTTTCCTGATATTTTTAGGAGCTTTTAATACAATTCTCTGTCTGTATTATGTTTTATTTTTTTTTCTAACAATCAAATGTACTTAATAAGCTTCTTTCTTGACAAATTCTGTGTTTTCTTGACCCTGACGCTTGTTTTATTAGTGCTTTGTTATAACGGCATACTTTTTAAATATCAGGACAATGATATACAGGCCTAGTGTATATATTTTTAAACTTTTCTTACACCTCCTAAACTCAAGAAGGCCTTGTGCCCCCCGTGAAGCTTTGGCGACCCCTAGTGCCTGACACCAAGATCGGGAGCCACTGTTCTAAAGTAAACATCTCTCTTGTAGAAATGATTGAAAACTGTAGTTGTTAAAGTTTTAAAGTTAAATAACTTTGTCTTAAACGACTGGAAAAGAAGGCAAACTGGCTATTACATAGATCTTTCTTGTATGTTCAGGGCTCAACAATAAGAATGACTAAAATCCCACTTAAATGTCCTCAATTGTTGTTTTTTGAACACCTGTACTGTGTTCTCATTTGAGGGCAGTTGCCATCAGTGGGTATTGAACCCCTCACACACACAAACTTAAAAATAATTGATTTCTAAAAAAAAAAAAAACCTTACCGTGTGCAGAAGCCTCTTGCCTTCGTAATGAGATGCCACTGCCTGGCTGTCACTGCAGAAGCTCTCAGCCCTCCTGTGCAGGACGCCGTCTCTGTCTAAGGTGGCGGCGGATCTGCCACGGCACTGCAGGCGACCGGACATGGTGTCGGCTGAGCAGCTCAGCAGGAACACAGCACTGGGCTCCCCCACCTGAACACACAGGACAAGGAAAGTCAGCAGCAAGTCCAGCTGACGACAGTGAACCTCAGGCTACAGCTTCCATTTTACTTTAGACTGTACGTCACTGTACTGTTGCCCCGTCAAGTGTATCTGAATAAATCACTCTGCATCTGTCCAAAAATGACATTTTTCCTCCATTTGTTGCTTTCGTGCAAATGAATCATTGTCATTCTGAACGCGTCATTGCTGTTTGTCACACATCCTCATTTTTCTTCCGTTATCTCCGCTGTGTTTTTTACTCCTGCATTAGCGCAAGAGTCATATTTAATTAACATTTTTCTCACTGATGTCAGTACTGCATGTTAAACATGTTTCAAAATCAAGTGTTTGTTTTTCTGCCTTGTCTCTTCACTTTGCTCTCATTTAAAAGTTATGTGGATTTAAGATCTTCTTTTATTCATGTTTCTGATCACACGTCTGCTCTCAGTGCGGTGCTCCGACCTTGGCCTCGTACTCCTCTGCCCGTCTCAGGTCTCTGGGGAAGCCGCTGATCACAAGACCTTTCCCCTGCCGTACCGACAACGCCACGGCATCACACAGCAGCTCCAGCAGTGTGTCCTGGACATCAAACACACATACAGCACAAGCATTAACTCCCATACAAACCACATCACTGTAATTCCATTCTCAGGATTTGTGCAGTGGAAGCTTCAAGTTTCTACATCACGCTTGTATAAGTTGCAGACTGGACCATAATCAAGACGCTACATGTGTGTCACATGTGTAGTGAGTGGTGTTAACTGTGCATAATGGGTACTTGAAGGCCACATAATGAGTTGAAGGAGTGGTGGGTTTCCTCAGGAGCAGCTAATTTTACTCCTACAGCCCCCCGTTGAGGATTAATCAGTATAGGTTTGAACTGATATCTCATTTACTGTACATAAATAACTCACACACAGTATATCCAAGTATATGCGGTTGCAGTTATAGATGGATTTATAAACGGCATGTAGGTCAAGTAGAAATAACTTATATTTTAATGTAATCTGACAAATATTAGAAAGGTTATTGAGAGGTTTTCTTGCTGGACAAGTCTTCATGTAATTTCATCCATCCCGAGTGAATTATATCAACATGACCCAGGACAAGGAACATGCATGTTAAGGCAACTTTCCCTGAATAAATAATAATCAAAAAACGATCAAAACATACAAAAACACATACAATGATTACTGATAATTAATTAAATAGCTCCTCAGAGTGAACCACATTCACTTAATTTAAACTTGATATTCACATGAGTCTGGGGGTCCATATGAACAGTAGCTGCTCTGTTATGCATCAGGTGGCTCTTTGTCTCAATGTCATCAATTAAAACTTATTAATATATTAATTTCATATTAGAATATGATTAAATACACTTATTTGTACAAGCTTAAACTGACACCAAGAATATAGTGTCTTCATAATGTTCTCAGGTATTTATCCCAGCAAGCCAGTTCAGGCAGACATCTTGCTTCTATGTGACATACTCATTGGAAGACAAATCAAGCGCACCCTCTGCAATGAGCCCGTCTATATAAAGCTGTGATGCGCCACCCAATCTTCTGCTTTGCTACGACAAATACAAGTTTACTGTGTGTTATTATGAAGCTAAACTGCTAACAGTTGCTTCATGTTGCTTTAATAATCGTGTTTGAGTCGCTCTTTGTTGCTGTCTGTCTCAAAGGCCATTTCAACATGGAACAACACTTTCTAAAGGCCTTAAAGGTAAAAATGCTTCACCAAGCTCTGGTAAGCGTTTGCAGTGTCTTTGCTCTGTTTAGTCATTGTTTGTGTGGATTATTGCTCACTAAAGTCTCCTTGTGGTTGTCTTGGCGTCTGGTAATTACGTTAACTTTGCTCTTATGCTGCTGCAGCTGCTCGGACTTTATTGCTTTGTGGCATAACATTATTGATTGTTGTGGCTGTATTTCCCTGTAATACTGGTTTTAAGGGGAATGCAATGCATGCTTTTAATACACGCACATATTCAGCCAGACATTAGAATAATATTTATACTCACAGAAATGGGTTTATGTAACAGCTTTCTATAGCGTACTATTCTTCATATCATAATTAAATTACACTTCCTGTTCGACTCTCAACTAATCCACATTTATCTGCTGCTCATCAAAGCTACATACCTTTAACACGGAGTGTCTTGGATTTTAATGTACTAGAGTTAAGAATAACTTGGTGTATAGCTGATGTGTTTAATTGCTGCATATCAAGTGGATTGCTGGGTTTTATCCATGTCAGTTCACTGTGTGAATGTGTATGTAGTACTCTCAGGTTTATTAAGCACAGTTAGGTACTATAAAGCAGTCTAATACAACAGGCCTGCAATAAATCCCACCCTCATAAAGATTATATGTGTTTGTAATGATTTGCCCTTCATATTTCATATTAGAAAGATAGTAGATATTAGAAACACTTCTCAATCTAATGACATGTGATTCAACAGCACCCCAAACTGCGGCCCCCAAAATGACCATAAAGTTGAATCAACGCCTCTTCTAAAACGGTTTAATCAAAAACGGGACATTATATCCTTCTTGAGGGTAGGATTTATTGCAGGACTGTTGTATTAGACTGCATTAGTTGTAGCTTGGTGTAACTAATAACATAGCAACCAAGTATATATTTCCTGCATTGTACACGAGATGTGTTGAACGTATGCAGCTTAGGGCGATTTGCCTTATTTGATAGTTCAGACGGACAAGAAACACGGAAAAAGATAAAGGACAGAAACGTGTGTTTTTTTTAACGAAGCCAAAAACTGATGATAATTGGATGTGTATCTGGGGAGCATTGATGTTTTCACACTCTACGTCTGCCTGTGTTTTTCTGCGTCTGACTGTATCCAAAAGTAAAAACCTTTTGATTGTGGTTTAAACCTCTTCATTGCTCTGATACCGTTCTGTTGTCAAAGGTCAAGATTCTCCAATCGATGCGTCCCTGAGCATCGTAATTAACACTGAATTGACTGACTGTGCTCATGTTAAATCCTTTACTGATTGAAATATTTTCTGGTATGTTGACCTTCTGTAGAAAAACTTGCAGTAATAAAGAACAGGGAGGAAGTAGTTTACATCTTTAGATGACATGACCCTGTTTAAAGCCAGAAATGCTCTTAACTGAGTATTCATGACCAACTCTACACCTGGGCTGAGACCCTGAAGTGCCAGAGCATCGAATCATATGCAGCACCCACCAACGGGAAAATAAGCAATCCACTATTTTTTGGTATTTTAACACATTAAATATTAAGTATTTGTTGGCTTCTGCTCAAAATATGCAGCTGAGAGTGAATTTCTCCCTCATTGAAATGTGATTCTGCCTCTGCAAGGTCTCAAAATGTGCTTCAAGCCTTAAAAGTAAAACTACTTGCTATTACTGATGCATCATATGTAGCATTTTAAGTGGCGGTAACTACTTCGTATACAGTATGATAGTCTAATGCAGTGGTTTCCAACCTTAAATAAATAAATATAAATATGAAGATAAATGTGGAATGAAGATGCAAAATTGCTTTTACTTTTTGAACTTTTCTCTTGGAGAGATTTACATCTTTTGGCTTCAAATTTAAATGTTAAGTTTAGAAGACAAATGTCTCTTTTATGGAACTGAAATGTGACAAATGGCTCCAACTAGAGAATAAGAATTGCCCACTTGCCCGGGGCAAGTAAAATAGTAAAATGCCACCCCGGGCTAGTGAATCTACCATCTGGCTACAGGAAAAAGAGAATTAAACACAGTTTTGTTTCTCAAAGGCACGTCAAGTTTCTGGAAAACGTTGCTGGAGTGCCATAAGACGAGGTGACAGCATCTCACTTCCATGAACCTAAAAGGTGATAATTATGTTTGGTTATTTGATAATCTTTATTAAATAAACATAAATTTAGCTTATCAGTTATTTTTATACAAATTGTTTTAAGTAGAATCTTAATCTGAGAAGTAACTACAACTGTCAGATAAATGGAAATTGAATAGTTGATTAAATGTACTCTATATATGTGCCCAGACAGGAAGCTGACAATCTACGGAGGGATTACAGTTCACAGAGAACATTAAATTGCACTTTCTGTGTTGCCAAGCAACAGTACAGTAACATTTTACCACCACTCGCCGGTGAGCCCCACACCACAGCATTTTATCTCACTTTCAGATCAAACTCTTAACTCTGATGTGGGTGTGATTTTGTATTAACAGTTGTTTTTTTTTTTGTGTAATGTGCACTTCAGTAATCCCAGCGTGGGATTATTCATCCTCTGTTAAATCACTGTCACTCTCTCGCTCCATAACTATCTCCCTCACACAACACAAAAATAAGCGTTTAGCAGCGACTATGTTAGTGAACACATGGGACATGATGACCTCAATGTGCTGTAAGAAGCTTAGACAGCTGAGCCTTACTTGAAAGCCATTGGGTTTCTCCACAGGAAGTTAAAGTAAATCTCTGCTTGGGTGTCTTTTTATATTGCCTCCAGATATGTTGAATACATAACTTTAAGTATTTTCTTGGCATTTCTGCTGTAGTTTGGATAGTGACAGCTGGAGAATGGCAGGAGGGCTGGAAACCAACCCTGGCGCTCCACCAGGTGAGCTGCCGGAGCATCCCAGTGCATCACTTCTAAAAGACGATGAAAAGCCTGAATGTCTCACATTTAGACTTCAGACTCTATTGTTTATCAGTAGCTGAAAAGGAGCTAAAACAGAAATTATACCAAATCACTGAAAGCATATTTTCTTATAGTTCTATCTAGACATGCAGATTTTAGCTTTGTTTGAGCAGGTTTCCAGATATCTGCTGCTACAGTTATACAATGGAGGGGAATTGAATTTAGTTTGTGGGACTTAGAATATTAAAAAAATACCTAGAGATCTAGAAAAATCATAATTGACATTTCTTTACAGAAACAGTGTTTTTTGGACATTCCACAGTTGTCACTGTGAGCTGTTTTTATTCTATATATTATTTATACTGTTTATTTTGTAGAAGGTGGGAGCACCTTCACTGAACTGATGTGTGCCATGTGAGGGTCTAGGAAGGTGGTGGGAGGCATTTACGCCTTGCAACCAAACCACATTTAACAAAAATGACTCAATAGCTGGATTGATTTAAATGGATTGACCGATGGATTAACGTGACCGTGTACACTCCTTGCATTTTCTCCCGACTGATAAAGCACAGCGGCCTTTAAATTTGGCCTTCAGGCTACTGAAGAATCCATATTTCACCCTCAAACAGGGAAATGACAATGTGACAAGCATCAGTAAAGATCAACAGAACAAACAAGCCTGTATTTCTCACTATATACCAAGAAAACATAACACATAAATCAACATAACATATTAAACCAAATCCAATTCCTACATACTTTAACCAATGACATCTGTAGGTTTAGCTGCCACCGTCTTTAATGAGGCGCTCTCGTGCTTCTTGGATGGTGGAAACGACATTAACGCTATAAAGATGTTGGATTTTATTGCTCTGAGCCTTTAAACAACCTGTTGATAGCTGTTTCCAGTATTTGTGTGACACTGAAGAGCAATCTTATCAGTTAATGATAATAAATAACTTTTTTTTTTTACTAATATAGGTCACTCTCCATAATGGCAACTAATGGTTACAACCTAATACCATATTAC